ACACCATGGCGGACACCCCCGGGCGGATCGACGCCGCCCTGCAAGAACGGGCCCGGCAGCAGCAGCAGAACCAGTTCATGGCCTTTGTCCAGAGGTACGGCGTCAACGTGCTCTTTCCCGCGAGGGTGGTGCCCAAGGCCAAGGGCGAGGCCGGCGAGGCAAAACCCGTCAAAACCAACAAGGACCTGGTCAATGCGAGGCTGCTGGAGAACGGGATCCTCTTCGAGAACCTCCAGTCCCTCCCGCAGCTCCAGGAAGGAGTCGCCAGGTCCGTGGAGAACCTGATGCGGACCCAGGCCTTTAACTCGGTCCAGATCGAGCTCGACACAAAGCAGAGCAACGAGCCGCAACCAGCATCCGGAGACGAAGACGAAGCGCCARACCGGCCGGAATCCGCGCACACCCACTCGCTCAACGTGATTCTCGACGAAAAGAACTGGTACTCTCTCTACATTGGGGGGGGWGTCAAGCACGAGGGCATGGAAGAGGCCATGAACTCCTCCACCAAACTCCCAAAGGCGCAGTTCGAGTCCAGCGTGACGCTGTCCAACCTGACGGGATACCTGGACCGCTCGTTTTTCCAGTACACCGTCGACCAGGCCGCCAACGCCCGGGTGCTCCTCAGCCACGAGCGGCCCCTCTACAGCTGGTTCCCGGAGGACTCGCAGGCGGCGTATTCCATCGTGGGGCTGGGCAAGGGCTCGCAGTACTCGCTGGGCTTTCGGGCCYTGATCGACACGGTCGACTTCGAATCGAGCCGTTCCTACCAGGAATTCCAGAGGTCCCTCGGCTGGCGCCTGGACAACACCGGGAACGTGGGCCGGCCCGACATGGCMCCCGTCACGGGGCCCGGGGACTTCTACTGGGGCCTCGACTGGACGCTGGGGCTACGGGACATTGTGCCCCGCAAGCACGCCGAGCTCCCCTACGCGGCCGACGCCTCMCCGGAGATCGTGGTGCAATCGGGGCCCTCTCTCCTGCACTCCCTGAAATGGGAGGCCCGGACCAACGGGTCCGGGCTCGACGACCGSTACCAGCCAACGATCGGTGTGGACGCCCACGCCTCGACGGAACTGGCGGGGCCCCCCGGGGACGTTGGCTTTTTCAAGGCCCAGGGGGGGTTGGCCATCCAYGTTCCCCTCGACGGGGACGTCGACGAACTGGGAAACTACACCCCTCCGGAACACCCTTCCTGGCTGGACCGCATATCCGTCCACGCGACGGCGTCCGGGGGCCTTCTCCGGCCCCTCTCCTTCGGTGGCCTCTGCCGGTCGCCCACCATCTCGGACCGCTTCTTTGTGGGCGGCCCCATGCAGCTCCGGGGGTTTTTGCCCGCCGGGATCGGTCCCCGTTCCGCGAAGGGSGGATCGACCAGCCCGGGGGGCGATGCCATGGGGGGGAGCCTCTTCTACACGGCCGGCCTCTTCGCGAGCATGGCGCCCCCGCCCGGGAGCCTCCTCGACAGCTACGGGCTGCGCTTCTTTGGCTTTTGGAACGCGGGAACCCTGGTGGGGRTCTCCCCCCTCACCCCGCACCACCCCGGCAGGGCACCGAAGGGACACGAGAAGCTTCCCCCCGTGCCGACCTGGAAGCAGGTCGTCCAGAGCACGCGGACGGCGGTGGGCGTGGGGATCTCGGGGGGGACCCCCCTGGGGCGGATGGAGGTCACCTATGCCTTCCCGCTCAGGTACGGGCCCTCGGACGCCCGCCGGAACTTTCAGTTTGGCTTTGGATTCAACTTTGGCTAGCTGGCTCGGCTCGGCTCGGCTTGGCTCGGCTTGGCTTGGCTTGGCTTGGCTCGGCTTGGCTCGGCTTGGCTTGGCTTGGCTTGGCTTGGCTCGGCTTGGCTTGGCTTGGCTTGGCTTTGGTGCCGGATCGAAACGAACCACGGGGAGCGAGCGAGTCGCCGCGCGAGCCGGTGTCCGGCAGAACCCGGGTGCGTTCCTTGGCGCCGGAGGCCGGTCGCTCTTTCGCGTTTTGGGTGAAACCGAGCTTGGCTTGGCTTGGCTTTGGTGCCGGATCGAAACGAACCACGGGGAGCGAGCGAGTCGCCGCGCGAGCCGGTGTCCGGCAGAACCCGGGTGCGTTCCTTGGCGCCGGAGGCCGGTCGCTCTTTCGCGTTTTGGGTGAAACCGAGCTCCGGGTTCGATTCGTAGAAGCAGCAGCAGCAAGCTTTCCAATCTCCGTGAGCACGATGGGGCTTTCGCGATTGAAACACTTAGTTCTGTAAACTAGTAGACATTGGAGAATGCCTTGGATGTAGGTCGCTTTGAAATCAGCTGGTGGTCTCGTTGAAAAGGCGCAGTTGAAAAGAAAGAAAGCAGTGCTGTACTTGGAACAGAATTACTGGCAGTGGTACTAGCTAGTACTACTACTATGTATTTCACTGAGCATCAATACTAAATTCAAATAAGAGCACTGCCAATCGCTACTAGTAGAACKTATTGATGGCAAGCACTACTAATAGTATTGAACAATTAATTGGTCTTGCTTTTGTTACAATAGTAAGAGGTGCTGTAAAAATAACTACCCACCCGRTTGTTCACAGCTTACACGTGTAACTCCATGGTGATGCCATCACTGAAACTGATGTGCTCTACGGAAGTCGCTAACAAAAACGTACAGTACAAGAAACTCCCATGTACTGTACGTACCGGTACGTACGTATGTACAGGTCTTAATTTTCATCGTTGTTTCCAACAACAAACTGCTCGGTACGTCACGGAAAGATTCCTTGATGCTGTGAAGTTGTCCCTCACAAAAGCCAACTTGGCGAAACAAACGACGGAAACAACATGGTAGAATTTTTATTTCATTCAGCCTTCCTTTTAGGATCTCTTATCAACTGCAACGACGTTTCGGCCTTTGTTTTGCAGCCATTGGCTCCGACCGGCASAGCTGACGTCGCGTCCGGGTCCACCGAACTCTTTCTAGCGAAAAAGCAAAAGAAGAAACCGAAGAAAGTAGCAGCATCGAGTGGAGGTTTTGGCAAAGTTGATGCCAGTGTCAAGCCCAAGCCTGACAATGACTATGCCGTATTTCCCGCTCTAGAGACCAAGGTTCGCGAAACTCTCGTTCCAACTCCACCGAGCATGGTGGAGGAAATAGAATCGACGGGATCGATCCCCAACGAAATTTACCATCGACTGGATCAGATTTACGGATTTCCCGATTTCAACTACGAAACAGCGTTGGTAGAAGAGGTTTCGGATGACGGTGACGACGGCGGTGGAAGTTTTTCACTGGAAGATCTCATGGCTGCTCCGGAATCACCGTCTGCAACAGAGAAAAAGAAAGGGAGCACAACAGACGCATTGGACTTCAACGAACTGATAGCCGCAGCAACCGGCGGTCCTGTCGAAGCTTCTGCCAGTGYGATGGATAATGACGTCGATAGCGAAACAACAGCTGCGAACGCAGAGGAAATGAAAAACGCAATTTCGAGCTTGCCGCCCTTTGAAAAAATTAACGTTCTGCATCTGGATCCTTTGGTATTGTCCATCGACGACTTTTTTACTGAGGAGGTGAGTGCTGTGGAACCCGACTTTTTTTGTAGAAAGAGGAAGCCATTTGGAGTGCTCTATAGCAATKTTGTAATGCRTGCTAAATTGTASTCCRTRTCCCTCTCTCCCGCTCAYGACAACCACCTCTGTCCAATTCTATCAAAAAATCAAGGAATGCGATCGATACGTAGAGATGTCGCTCGCACCGGTAACCGATGAAGGGAGCCAAAAGACAATGGATAGCTTCAAAACGCGATCGAAAACTGTTGGAAAGGACAAAAATGCCAAGTCGCAGCGAACGAGCACTACGTGGTTCCATCATTACAAGAACGTCCCCGAGCTCATGTCCAAGGCAAGCCGACTGGTAGGATTGGACACGATCGATCGGTGGGAAGAGCCCCAAACCGTTMGGTACAAGCGAAACGAAAAGTTTACCTGGCATCTAGATGCCCTGGCMCCCGATCAATCAACGGCCGAAAAGGGTGGCCAGAGATTGGCAACGCTTCTGGTGTACCTGAAGGATCTGGAATCCGGAGGAGCCACCATCTTCCGAGATCTAACACCGGCAACGGGAGAGACCGACGACAATGCGAGTGGTTTTCTAAAAGTGTAAGTGTTCAAAAAGACCGGGATGCTTTTGTGACCAAAGCTTTTCTCATCCGTTTTCTATCTGCCTGTTTGCTCGGGATACACATCACCGCGGAATTCACAGTCAACCCAAAAAAGGGTCTGCACTCATGTTTTTTCCGGCAGCGGGTGGCATCCCAGGCGCTCCTTTCGACATAAGGACTCTGCATTGCGGAGAAGTGGTACCAGGAGCGTCCGAAACAGACAAGTGGATATCGCAGTTGTGGTTGCGTGCGACAYCCTACACTCCTACAGCGCCACCTGGCAATTTACACGAGGAGGCGCTGGACAGAGTGAAGGAATATTGCCAGTGAAGACCTCGAACAATGGAATGCGATGAAATAGCCGATCCAGTCGTTCCGTAGGGCGGCAATTCAGCTATAGAGCACGGCCAGGGATAAAAWCATAAAGAATTAGTGAGCATTATAGATTTTCACTATCATATCGTTTGAAAGTTTGTGCAATTTGAAACCTAGGTCACTAAAACTGTGCCTTTTTCGATATGGATCCTGCGCTATACCAAAGAGCCAGGCATTCTTCGCTTGTAGAAAAGATAAGGAGCTACACACAGCGATGATGCAGAAGGATTKCTTTTGATGAAAACAAAAAATCGAAAGATATTTTCATGCTCATACCATTAGTAGCAACAGCATCGGCTAACATAGCAGCATATTTCGTTCAGAATCATCACGATCTCCTGTCTTCATTCGTCACCCATTTCCCCAAACTGCGTGGAACGTTGTATGCAGCTAGGAGTTGATTGACGATGAATTAATGGATTTCAAGTACCGCACTTCTTGTAATAACATRGTTTTCGTAATAGAAGTAGATACTAGCACACATTGGTGTGCGGTAGATCACCTCTTCCTATTAGTATTAGTCTCGTGCTTCGTAGAAAGTACTTGTACCGTACGTACCTACTCGTACTCGTAACCAATCCTAAAAACTGAATTTAGAGTGAATCACGACTTCGTCGACTTAAAATAAAGAAGAAAATGAAACTAACAGTAATGCAACCGCGTAGGAACTCGTACATAATGTACGCAGTATCCGTATCCAAAACAGCTGTCGGAAATCTCAGTTCTCCATCCGCCATAGGCAATCGCGAAAGATACCCCACAACCGCAGCCCATGATAGCAAAGCACACACACCGCAGCTCGAACTAACTTATACCAGCAATGGCTTCAGCAAACGAATTGTCGTCGCCACCAATCTCTAACCCAGAAGCCACCACGGATGCTTCCGAATGGACGTCGTTCGACCCGAGCTCMGATCTCACTGTKTCGGCCGCGTATCACCTCTGCATATCGGCCGTCACCCCCCGCCCGGTGGCCGTCATCACCTCTAGGGACCCGGATTCSAACATTCTCAACTGCGCCCCCTACTCCTATACATCGCTGGCTGGCCACGATCCTGTGGTGGTGACCCACGGATTCACGGTCTCGCGGGCTGCTGGAAAGAGAGACACGCTGCGGAACATCGAGAAATGCGGGGAATGGGTCTACAACGTTTTGTCGAAAGARTACCTCGAAAAGGCCAACGCGTGCTCGGCGTCCCTTCCTTACGAGGAAGACGAGACGGAACATTCCGGGTTGGAGGTCCTGCGGGATTGCTCTAATGCGTCAGGGRTTCCGAGGCTGAAAAATGCCCTGGTGGCAATGGAGTGCAAGCTGATCGACAAGAAGGAAATCACGAACGACGAAGGCCGGCACACATCTACCATTGTCATGGGHCGCGTCACAAGGTTCCATCTGCATTCTTCCGTTTTGAAGAAGGACCGGGCCCAAAACGAGCCGMGGGTTGATWTAGAAGCGATTCAGGCCGTGGGAAGAGCCGGSGACATTACTTACTGGCCGATCGGGACCACGCCTGAAACCGTCCTGCCCTTGACACGGCCTCCCTAGGCTGTTTCAAAAGAAGTCAATACTGCRAAGTCGATTCAATTYGAAGTTYTGCCCCAATGTTGGCGCAGATTGATCGTYAAMCCAGTGGAGACAGATTCAACAGGATTCTTGTTCGAAAGGTAAAACGAAAGGTRCAATGAATGTATTAAATCTATTCTATTTTTTAGGTTGAAGTTCAARTATCATYTATTGTTTGTGACTGKTGCACATCGCACCGASCATTACAGYGGCCAARAAGTTCACTTCCTTGCTGTGTTTTGTTTGAGTTGGTTTTGTAGGGCAGCAGAATTGGTGCTCAGGAATTTTCCGAATTTCTGCGTCTTCATTGGTTCCTTCAGGAGCCTTGCCAGCTGCRCACGGGCCCGCTTTGCCTCCAAGACCTGCATCTGCTCCTTTTCTGAGCGATCGTCCGCTTCGTCCAGCATGCCATCGTCCAGTTCGAGGTCGGCTTCCTTGGCCATCTCGTGGAACCACCTGTTGTGGGAATTCGTCTTCTGTTCCATCTCGCCCACGGTATAAATCTTGGAYGCAAGAGCGACCCGTTCTTGGGATGAGGTGAGCAACCGACCATCCAACAAGACYTTGCTGAAGGGAACGCTCAGCGAGGCAACGATTTTGCTGTGGGCCTTGTCTTCGGCCGGAGCAATCAGCGACAAACTCGAACCAACAGCTCCTTCGCCCATACCGCGCTGCAGAATCCAAATTAATAATCATGACGAGCGAACACCAAAGAGGACAAAACAATTAGACACATTGAAGCGATAAACAAGARAATGCCCACTAMATTCCAATCAGCAAGAGAATGAAATATTGACTCCGGTACCTTCATCATATTGATATCCTCAGATCCTAGCTACTACCCTAGATTGTCAGAGACTCTAGTCCGAAAGTTGATATGGTCGTCATTGTCGGTATTTCATTGCTCTTGTTGGCACAAGTTTTTCACCACAAAATTCGAATACRCAAATGGAAMGMAACTCACCGCTGTTCGCCCCGATCGATGCACAAACGTGTCCACGGCGCGGGCYACGTCGTAGTGTACCACTGTTGCAACAGAGGGAATGTCGAGACCTCTGGCTGCAACGTCCGTGCAAACAACAAGGACCCGTTCACCGGACTTCTTGAGAGATTCTACGGCTTTGAAACGAGCTCTCTGTGCGAACATTAGTGATTCGTTGTGGTACGGCGAAACAGAAAGAGTGAGCAATGTACGGCGAAACAGAAAGAGTGAGCAATGTGTTTTTGGTTGGAAGTTACTGCTGTTCGAGGTCGCAAGACAAAATAATTTAATGCAGTGTCATTAATGCTCGGAGATTGTTCACATAAAACCCACATGGGCACTCTCATTGTTGTCATTTTGACGAACAACGAGAATGATAACGTAGTTTTAACATTCAGGAAAATAAAAGGTATTTTCGTCATTGCAATGCCTCACAAAATTATGTTATGGACAACAGTGAARTGTTGTTTCGAYTACTCACCTGTTGCATGTGTGCGTGTAGAATTCGGACATTAAATCCAAGTGTTTGAAAGGTAGCTCCCACGCGTCGAACCGCCGCAATTGAATTGCAAAAGACAAGACACGGACCAGAGGATCCCTGGACGGTGGTCATCAAGTAGGCATAAAGGTGAGAATCTTTGTGTCTCTGTGTACACTTGATTTGTGCAAGTGACAAACCTGGTGGAAGTCGGACACCGGTATTATTTTTGTGATTTGCTAGAGAGCTTGAAGACGGGGAGGACGAAGACAAGTCCACCACTTTGGTCTCTCCCATTGCATTCGTCTTTTCAAGAATATCCGCAATGCCACCATCGATCCCGAGTTTCTTCCTCTTCTTTCCGCCTTTGGAATTTGCGGTTRTATTAGTGGATGTAAAKGGCAACGTCAACGTTGCAGAGTAGATGAAAGTTTGTCTATGAACCCTAGATTCTGGGTTTGCAAACACGTCTTCTGCAATGTCGTCTTCGATGTCGTCTAGTTCATCATCATAATCCTCATCAGGTRCATCAATGGGCTCTGCTTTTGTCGATGACTTTTGAGCCTGCACTTGATTCAAAATATCATCCGTCAACATAGTCAATTTTGCTTCCCCCCGGATACCAGGCAATCCCATTAGCCTAGATCCATCGTCGCTCTCGTCGTCGGAGTCATCATCGTCACTATCATCCTCTTCATTTGGATTAGCCTCGTTTACCAAATCTAAAATCTTGACTAATTGAGGGAACGAATGTTCTTGTGTCATTCGGTCGGCTTCGTCTAGAACGAGAAATTGAATCTGTGACAAGTCTTGCAAATGTTYGTTGTCTCCACTAGACAGCTGATACACCATTAAAAAGAACACCATGAAGAACAATAGTGTAAGTATTCGCTGGGWTTGATAGAATAATTTCTCTACAAACCAATTGGCAGGTCTCTGACTGACGTGCAAATATCAGATATAAAAGGTTTCTGTCACCGCAAACAWTGTATGGTGCTCCGAATTAGCATGTTGTTCTTCCCAGACCACCTGGTAGGGAAATGTGAASTATGTAAACTTACCATTGCCCATAATCGTCCAGGAGTTGCAACAACGATTGGTGGTCGTTTGGTTGCCAACAATCGCTTCTGCTTAACCAGAGCAATTCCGCCAACCAGTGTTACGCACTGACTAGGAACTAATTTTTCACATTCCGCGTGTATCTGCGTAGCCAATTCTATAAGAAACAATTAAGAAAAATAGAGATGGAAGTAAGTCAAAGCATGGTAAATCAATGATCGAATAGGCACATGAGACTATGTCRCATTGTAGTCTCGGTCAAGAAAGAAAATCAACTCGGACAGCCAAGGGGGTGTGTCAACAGATACCAGGATTCTACCCCTGAATTGTCGGAAACTCTATAAGAGTATTACCTGATAGTCGTCATTGTCGATATAATCCCGTTTCAATTTGTCGTACTTACCACGAGTCGGAGTGATGATCAAGGCTTGTAGATTCTTCTGCGTGGTATGCCCATCGCTAGAATTTTCTTCTCCATCCTTGTCCCTACTTTTTAGCATGCTGTCTAAAATAGGTAAGAGAAATGCAAGAGTTTTACCAGAGCCCGTTGGAGCAGCACCGACTAAGTTTCTCCGACCCATTGTTGATGCAGAGAGCGTGGCGGCTTGAATCGGAGTAGGAGAATCAAATCCTAGTCGGTGCATAGATTTCAACAACCTATCGTGCAAATGGGCACCTCCTGTTGACTGACTCCAGGACGCTTGGATTTGGTACAACTGTTCCGGTGTGACCGATTCTTGTTCCAATKGCGATGTTGCAGACGTTTCTTTAGTGGCTGTGTCATCTCCAACACCTGCTGCCTTGTCTTTTTTCTTTTTCTTCCTCTTCTTTTTCTTCGGTTGTTCCGATTCGTTGCTATCRGATAATTTGTTCTTTGAAKTATCTACTGCTGGAGCACTCTGCTTCGTTTCTTTYGTTTTTGKAGTTGCGTCATTAGATTCCCCAATAATAAGTCGTTTCGAGGATCCACTTTCTTCCACTCGATACTCACTYGCATCCAATACTTCGAGACCGTAAAACATGCCACAATCTTCTCCAGGYTTCATTTCTAGATCCAGCTCAGCCTTCTTAAYTAGCTTTGGATCGTCGTAATGATTAGAACTGTATTGTTTCGTCATCTCTGGTTGGGTTCCATCCATGTTCTGGTGATCGCCATCACCGTCAGCATCGCCTTGAGAGGAGATATTTACTGAAACAGATTTCCATGGTCCTGCGTTAGTAGAAGACGACGGCCTTGACCGTTTCTTCCGATTTCTCCCCATGTTGTTTCTTCTGCTGCGTGGTTTGAAGAGATWGCAGCGTTTAAAATTGTGGACAGGGGAGTGTTAGCGATGTACTCAATCATTCTCTAGGTGACATTTTTTTCAGCCTTTCCACCCTTTCAATTGAAGCCCAACGATATACGGTATTGTTCGTACATAAATCGTATTTCTTGTACAGGTATGGGTACTTGGTAGACAGACCACAAGAGAAACCTGCAAAATACCTCTTCCGTTTTGAGACCTGGGAAAATTTGGTGGATGGTTGCGATTGCGTAGTCTGTCCCTCGCCAGTTGAAAATTAGTGAAAGCACTTTTTGATTTTTTGGGTCAGTTTTTAAAATACGCTTAGATGACGTGTCTTTGACATCAGGTCACGTTGTCAATTTCGGAAGCACGTTTGAGACAGAAATTCTTTTGCTTGTTATTGTTTCTTCTCATTTGTTTCGCTCGAGTGGTACGGTACCAGTAGGTACCTCGTAGCCCCATCAACAATCACTCAAATGATCATTGCTTCCAAAGAATTTGAAAATGCCGGTACTGCCGATGGAATTGCTCTTTCGTTGCACTTGATGGTGTCATCGCATTCTACGAGAAACGATTCCGACTCATAATTTTACTGATTTYGTTACGTCGCGGTCATCATCGGTCAATCCTCATCAMAACTATCACCAATAAAACTTACTAAACGCAAGGGAAACCATCATGGTCCTGTCGTCTTACAATGGCTCTAGTGTGTACTTGAGTGGGGATCGCACCTATCATGACTCTTGGTGGAATGAACGATCACWTATAGAGCAAGCCTTTGAATGCGATGAAGATAAGACCGTACTACATTTCAAGAACTTGGATGTGACAGAAACAATGGCGGAGCACGTAATCGAACGGATCCAAGACCATCGCAAAAAAGAAGACTGGATAAAGCTCATTGTTATGGAGTGTTCGGACAACGAATACCTGGATCACATTGTCAACACCGCTCTGTCGCACATTCGATGCYTTGCATTAGCTGACACGGACATGATCGGCCCAAATTTGTTTCAATGCATATCAAATCATTTGACGATACCTGACATTAACCCCGCCATTTCTTCTGAAAAAAATTTGGAACAATTGGACTTACGGGAAATCGAAATTTCATTCGAGCAAGCCTGCGTTCTTAGCGAAGGGATTGCAATGACAAAATGCCTTCGAGAGTTGCGTTTTGGTACAGTTAGGCTTGATCAGAGAGGTTTTCGAAAATTGGCTGTGGGTCTCCGTGCCAATGTGTCGATCGAGGACCTTCAATTGGTTCGTTGTCAACTTCAAGACAAGCAGATAGCGATGCTTGCTGATGCCTTATGTAACCACCCTGGAATAAACAAGTTRGATCTCACTGGAAACTACTGCCGTCGTTTCGGGCTGAAAGCTTTATCGAGACTTTTGTCTATGGAACATTGTAGATTGCGCATTTTGAAATTGAATGATCAATACTACAACATGATTCCTGACGGAGACATAAACCAATCGACACTCCACGTTGAGGACCTGCTGGATGGATTACAACGAAATACTACATTGCAGGAGCTTGAGCTCTCCCGAAACGAACTGTCTGATGTAGACGCACTCCTGTCGATTTTGTGGAAGTGCCCAAGACTCAATTCCCTAGACTTGCTGGGAAATCGTATTTCTCAACTTGCATCATTGCGACGGTTTTGGTCCCAATCCAGGCCGAGTCGGCTCCAGAAACTTGAGCTGTCGTATAATCCTTTCCACTACAGCCCCGCAAAAAAGAYGCAAGAGGAAAATGCCATGTGGCTCTGTCGCTTGCTCGAGTCTCATCCCGAGCTCCGTTATGCTGGCAAGAAATCCTACCTCGACTCTTTTTGGAACAAAACTTGYCACCGGGCAAAGATCCAGCACTTTCTGGACCTGAATGGGACTGGCCGACACCTAGTCGCTAACAATAAAATGCCACTGGCCTTTTGGCCTTTCGTTTTGGAGCGAGCAAACAAACAATTTGAGGGATCCCGGCAAGCGAATGTCATTTTTCATTTACTGCATGGCCCCGTAACGACTTCTCGRGAAGACCAACCAGTGGTAGATTGATGGGATAGACTTATTACAGAGCTCTTTGGATTCTTGCTAACTTACAGCGCACGACTCGCGGGTATTGCGGGTTCGATTTGAGAGGCATAGTTTACACGTTACACCATTTTCACTCTGTCAACTAATACTTGTAAGTGCATTTAGATAACAAAAACGCACTGTCTCTTCCAAAATGTAGAATTTGAATGGAATGCAAATCTATTGAATTGTTATAGCAGTGTRTCATTCTGACTTGACACCGTTCACGTCCTCGCTATTTGCATCTGATCTGGCAGAGAGCTGATCTAATTCGATGCTGTCGTAAGGGTYTGACAAAGYGGGGTAACTAWTCCGATGGTGAAAATTCGATCAGTAAGCTAATCAGCCGTACGTTTATGTGAYGCAAGAGATATACGTAAACCCACAGTTGACAAAATTGAACTCGTGATATTACTTAGTATTCGTCTGATCGTTGTCATCGTTAACTGGTGCTAGAATATTGTAATCATAAATCGATCAGGTAGCAGTAGAAATCCCTTGTTCCACATTAGATATGTTCTGGTTKAGGTTTTTGTATGTCATCATAACGGCCCTTATCTCGAAAAAGACAATTCTCAAATTTGAGGGAATGGTTCCTTGTCGACATCTTCCAAGAGAAGCTATTGCGTTCTTTATTCATCACCGATCAATTCGATCAATTCAGGTTCCTTTCCTGGAAGTCCAACAATCTCTACGTCAAAAACAACCTCTGCGTTTCCAGGGATTCGAGGCTTTCCAGCCGAGGCTGGTCGGCCCTTGGGTCCAAACGCCAATTCACCCTACATCACCATAACAATGAACGAAGGAARMATTTATGAGAAAGATCTTCTTCGAACGGTATTTCCGTCCTACCGATTAAGCAAATCGTGCTTTTTAAAGACATGCTTGGAAACTTTGGATGGCCAATGAAARTGTAAAATTTGCACAAACAAGGACCGACACGTTTTTCCGTCGCTACAAATCAACCAAATTCATTTGAAATCATTCAAGATTCGACTAGCTTACAGGAATGGTGAGCTTCCATCTGTCTCCAAGATTCATGAGCGGCAGGGTCGATTCGACGCCTTTCAAAAGGCCACCACTTCCGAGTCTTGTGTAGTAGGGCTCAGGAGTATCGAAAATGTCGTCGATCTTTCGGCCWTCRACGTATGCGGCGAAGCGAATGGCAATTAGTTCCCCAACGTCGGGTTTGATGCCCTTTCCTTCCTTGACAACCTCGTATGTAACGCCAGATGGAAGCTTATCGGCAAAGGCAGGCTGCTGCACCAAGACGGTTGCGGCCGCTGTTGCAACACCACCCTTGACAAGAGTCTGCAGCATCGATTTACGGGTGACCTGGGATCCAGGCTTAGGTGCAGACCAGGCTTGACCAGATTCCAWGGCGCAAAGGCCGACGAGGACAGTAGCAATTGTTGACGAACGCATGATGGTATTGTAAATGTTGTCGATCGCTTTTTCTGTKAGTTTTATGTGTCAGGTGGCAATCCCTATCGAAACATGGAAACTCGTATGATTTGATTTTGCTCATCCGAAGAGGCGAGCTGTTATCGGCAGTGCTGTTATTCAGAAGACATTTGACACCTCAAGGATCCCACGACACGTCTAAACTCTTCCTCATCATCCTCATAAAATCGTTATTGAAACTCCGCGGTAGTACGAAGTACGAACTCGTGATACTAACTACCATCCGATAGTTACGAGCATGTGTCGTGATGATATGTTCAACAACGTCATCACCCCCAAAAATGTTAGAAGACTAGGGTGTTTGAAAGATGCTCCCCCCTAACTCTTTTTGAATGTCAGTCACGCTTCGAATTTAACCATGAATGAACAGCCAATGAAAATGAAAAGAAACAAATAACACGTCATCTTCGATTGATTCACTTCTTCCCTAAGAACCGGCATATCTCACATTTCACCTCATAAAATTCAAAATTCTCTTCTTCTGTCTATTCTTGTTGACAGTTGATGTCACCTTGTTGGTCATTTAATTAGCGGGATGGAAACAAATTCTTTCGCGACAACATCTTCTTTTGAGGGTAGAGCATTAAAGGAATCGTTGTTGAAAATTGAGAMGGTAACGATCCCAAAATAATCATAACARTAATACGCTCGAGGAGAAYCTTTTTTCATAATCAAAAAAGAAAGGTTCCACTTTCATCATTGGCAACGGAAATACCGATCACAGTGAACCATGTCGTTCAACGAAGCGTCTGGACTCGATTCTCGACAGAGCTGGTTGCCTACATTAACGGAKGAAACCGTACAAGGAGTACCGATATGTGATGYGCCGTCACAACTAACTCTAACGAAAGATCAGTCTTGGTACAGGCGCCAAGATATAGACRGAGATCAGTACTACTACGCTAAGTGYTTGGTTGGTGGAGGCCTCTCCTCGAGCCTCCGTTGGGCGCTCACGCCTTTGGATTACGTCAAGTGCAATATGCAAGYGCATCCATCACGATATCCAAACTTTTCGTCTGGATTGGTTTCGGTGTATACAAAACAAGGWCTGTCGGGATTGTATCGTGGATTTACCCCGACCGTTTTGGCCTATTTTTCTCAGAGTGGCTGCAAATATGCCATGTATGAGTTTCTGAAGGACCRWTTTACGGAGGTCCTTGGTAGTGAMCAAGCTGCTAAAAATAAAAYTCTAGTCTATGCGGTAGCGGCTGGATCTGCCGAGGCCATCGCCGACATAGCGATGTGTCCGTGGGAAATGCTCAAAGTTCAGATCCAAACTGCCAGGTGTGAAGAGTCCTTTCCTTCCAGGTTTGGCCCTGCCCTGCGATCGATGATGGAACAGCGACAAACCCTCAATTTTCCCTTTGGATCCCTCAGCCCSCTTTGGTCCCGACARGTGATCGGGACCATGGCCAATTTTGTGGTCTTTGAACACACGGTCGATTGGATGTATGGCTATTTTTTGAGAACCGAGAAGTGCGACTGTAACAAATCAACACAGCTGGCGGTGTCTTTTGCTTCGGGTTTTTGCTCGGGCGTTTTCTCTGCGACCGTCTCTCACCCCGCTGATTCACTKTTGTCGCTACGGGCTCGGTTTCCAGAAATGACATACTCTGAGATTGCCCGTACCGTGGGATGGAAAAAACTAGCTACGCAGGGACTAATTCCAAGGGCGGCCGTTACCGGAACCATAATCGCTAGTCAGTGGTTCCTMTACAACTCGTTCAAGACTGTAATCGGGCTAGGAACGACTGGAGGCTGAACTGGACTTATCGGCGAAGAAAAAAGAGAGCACGCACAAGAAGACGATGGGGATGAAGATTTCGACATGGCACGAAATGCGTGGAACATCTTTACTGTTGTTGCGATCCTCTTCTTTCGTCCGATCTTGAAACAATAATACCAAATAATTGGTTGGATCAATAGGAAATGGATACGGAGYCAGGACTTCTTGGGGTTAGTACTGGTTCTTGATATATTCAGACTTTTGTCCTACTAATACTATTGGTAAGAAGAACTCTAACAACATCAAGTAGCATTTTCAAGAAGCAGGAGGAGGATGACAATGAGTAGTAATAACTACAAGTATTAGTAATACTACTAGCAATACTACTGGTAATACTACTAGTTCTACAAGTATAACGTTGCCATCCCCAGCAGTAGTACTAGTAAGTGCTAGTAGAAGTAATGGAAATTCTCACCTAACTTTAAGCACTGATACAAGCTTGCAAGCAGAAGACAAGCAACAGAAGTTCCCCAGAAGTAAGAGTAGTATTGGGCCATTCCTGTTATTCTAAATGTGATTAATTTGATAGACTGACATACCAAAATTTAGCACAACTGGTTCCAGATTTAGCATTTTTAGAAAGGGTCAAAGCAGCATATTCACAATGTGCTAAATCTATGATGGAACCCACAACTGGAAATTTTGAGTCCATTGAAAGACTCAACAGAAAGGCCTGCCAAAATTAAGACTCAGTTGAGCACAAATTAAGACWCAATAACAAGTGGGGCCTCCATTGTTGAGTGCCTCATTCTGCAATACCACACATACAAACAGGATAGACAAATCTTTTAATGATGTCTTCTATTAAAACTGGCGCTATGCATACAAACAGGAGAGGCACCTCTATCAAGTGCCTCCCTTAAAAATGGTGGTGGTGCCACTCACAATAGCATCACATAACAAAAGAACAAAGAATGTCCAACAAGGTGTTCTAAAATAAGCGTATTCTACTTCGTTCCTATCTTTGTTGAACCAGCAAGGGGAGGTGAAGCAGGATCATGTGGACTGCATGAAATAACGTGCACTGAAGAATTGTTTTAGTAGTAGTAGTATTTAGATTGTATCTAAATTAGGATTGTGAGACTAAAACTAATGGAAAATAGTTAACTCAAGGAATCCATCGGTCCACACACTTTCCCATGTTATACTGGATTCATTGAGTTAGAATTGATAGTAGAAATATACATCAATACAGTACTTTTCAAGTGTGAGCTAGTTTCCTCAGTTCTCGGATCTTGTAGGTCTCAGTAGTGATCCTACTGAATGACTTTAGTAGAACAGAACTCCCAATCGATTAGTTCTGTTCTGAATTCTACTTCTCCTTCTGAAAACTAGTAAAGAGGAAGTATATCTGTATACATGTGTATGTAGTTACGCTTTGGTTTAGTAGTGTAGTATATAGTATATAGATATTTACTATATAGTATAGTGTCTAGTACTCGTACACTCGTACTCGTATACTAGTACTACTATATAGCTTTCGATCTATATATATATATACAGTTTTTGGTCCTGGGGACTCATGATGATTGGATCCACGAGTGGTCTTCCGTACTGTTCCTACGGTACTCGTTGCATGGACAAAGAGGGAGCAGCCCCAGACCCTTGCCCTATCCTAGTACTATGTACTATTTATCTTAAGATGGATCAAACTGGTAACAGTGCCTGCAAGCCTACTTGATCTATATATATAGTATATACAGTTTTTGGTCCTGGGGACTCATGATGATTGGATCCACGAGTGGTCTTCCGTACTGTTCCTACGGTACTCGTTGCATGGACAAAGAGGGAGCAGCCCCAGACCCTTGCCCTATCCTAGTACTATGTACTATTTATCTTAAGATGGATCAAACTGGTAACAGTGCCTGCAAGCCTACTTGATCTATATATATAGTATATACAGTTTTTGGTCCTGGGGACTCATGATGATTGGATCCACGAGTGGTCTTCCGTACTGTTCCTACGGTACTCGTTGCATGGACAAAGAGGGAGCAGCCCCAGACCCTTGCCCTATCCTAGTACTATGTACTATTTATCTTAAGATGGATCAAACTGGTAACAGTGCCTGCAAGCCTACTTGATCTATATATATAGTATATACAGTTTTTGGTCCTGGGGACTCATGATGATTGGATCCACGAGTGGTCTTCCGTACTGTTCCTACGGTACTCGTTGCATGGACAAAGAGGGAGCAGCCCCAGACCCTTGCCCTATCCTAGTACTATGTACTATTTATCTTAAGATGGATCAAACTGGTAACAGTGCCTGCAAGCCTACTAGCACTGTAAACTAGTCAAATGATGAGCTAGAAATCTCAATACATGCAAAGYGTTGGCCCTATTTCAGGATCAAGACCTCCATCATGACCAAATACAACTATGCTAAGAGGAGGAAGAAGAGGGCTAAATACTACTTTACACCCTTGGTTCTCCATCAACCCAGATGACTGTAAATTCGTGGGTTATTCGTGGGTTCTTTCGTGGGTTATCCATCAACCCAGATGACTGTCAGACATGGGTTATTTGTGGATTATTTCATGTGTTATTCATGGGTTATTGTTCAAATAAATTAACCCATGCTTTAGAAACATGGGTTATTTTTTCCATGAAATAACCCACAATTCTAGAACATCATGGGTTATTCTTCAACAAAAATAACCTACTTTTTCTAGGGGAGGAATTCGAAAATGGGGATGCGTGCTTGGGTACTGGAGGGCCCTGGATTACTACTGAAATATTAGTATTATCCCTAACTCTAAATTTAGCCAAAATTGATGTAAAATGCCATTTTTGGTCAATACGTACCTATGAACACCTGTGCAGAGGCACATCTGTTTTCCAACGAGTCCATAGCAACAGTACGTGGCAACAGTACATGGAATCAGATATGAATCTCCGGGACCAAAAAGTATATATATATATATATATATATATATAGTAGTATATAGATCAAAAATACTACTACTAGTAGTATACAAGTACGAATAATATACAAGTACTATATACAATACTATATACTACACTAAACTGAAGCATCACTACATACACATATATGATACAGTTTAGTATATATCTGTATATAGATATACTTCCTCTTTACTATTCCTCAGAAGGAGAAATAGAATTCAGAACAGAACTATTTGATTGTGAGTTCTGTTCTAAAGTCACTCAGTACAATCAATACTGAGACCTACGAGATCCAAAAACTAAGGAACTGAATCCATGATAAATCAGTACTGCTCGGATTTACTTTTCTACTATCGATTCCCCTATTGATTCCAAGGAAAGGATCAGCACAACACAAGGAATCGTGCAGTGGTGGTGAATCCTTTGAGCAATTCAGTTTATTTATTAGTTGTAGTCTCACAATCCTAATTAGAGCAATATAATAATAATAATGATAATAGTAATAATAATAATAATAATAATAATAATAATAATAACAATAACAATAACAATAACAATAATAATAATAAACAGTACACGATATTTCGTGCATGTTTGCGAGGGGATTTTGTTTGAAAGTTGGCTTTTTCTTATGGTTAGGGATAATACTAAAATTTGGTAGGAACCAAACAATCTGATTGGCTAATTAGACAGATCAACTTAGTCATTGCTGTTGGTGTGATTCCAAATTCCTTGATTCCCGATAAACTAAAAAGTCTAAAGTAGACTGTTTAGACTTTTAGACCATCTAGATTAATGGGAATCATCCATTAGCCAATCAGATTGCTTGATTCCTACTGAATTTTAGTATTATCCCTAACCAGAAGAAAATTCCAACTTTTAAACAAAATCCCCTTTTCATGCGTTTTGAACAGATGTGGGGGGAATCATTGACCCCTCTCCAAGCACACTACTGTAGGACGATCGAAAAACCTCGTAGGTACCCGTAGTGTACAATCAGGTACATGTAAGTAGCCGTAGTAAAACATACATACGACCACGTACCCTACGGTACGAGACGTACTTACGTACGGTAACGTCATTCTTCTCGTGTCAATTTTAAAAATTGGTTCTCTTYACCCCTTGGGAAAGTTCGTTCCATCAGAACACTTTTTTATTCAAGCCAACCAGATTTCATAATTCACTAAACAGAAAAAATACCATAGCGACAAACCGTACCGTACTGGCATTATTTCACTCCAAGCAAAGCAAAGCAAGCTAGCAGTTGACCAAGAAGAATGTTGTTGCAGGACACGATCCACAAGCTATTTGCCCTCATCGACTCCATCGTGGAGCTCTATCTTGGAACCCTTGTCAAGCCTTTTTTGAAGCTTCACGAGACATTTTACGCGGCACTCAACAGGACGCTACGAAAGCTTCTCGACGATCACCGATCCCAGATCCCTGAATGGTTCACTGCCAATTGGATAACATATGCACGAACAGTCTTAGTGGTTCCTACTCTCCTGGTGTTGAGCTGGGGATACAGTATCCTGCCAAGCATTTTGGTTCTCTTTGTCGACTTCGGTGATTTCTTGGATGGAGTGGTGGCCCGGTWTTGGGTGGACGTTCGAACTGAAATCGAAACGAAACTCTCCGAGAAAGAAAAGGCACTGTCTCCCGAAAATTCGGACGATGAGTCCTTCGGTAAGTCATGAAAAATGGAAGAGAACACAACTCTGGGTCGAAGTTGTATTTTTGGTCATTTTATCGGTTGAGTTAGTCGTGGAGTGGCATGCATAAATTTGATTTTCTCTAAATCTAATCCACAACATCACTTTCCGGTGTTAACTCAAATGTTGGATGTCTGAWTCATTTATCCTCAATGATAACGAACATGAAATGATKACCCTTCRAAAATCGATGATATTCAACAAAAAAATAAACAAACAGAAGTCGTTACGACKGGTTCCCCGCAGAATTTTTCGTCTTGGTTGGACCTCCACCGGAATCGCACCTATGGAGGCTTTGTCGATGCCGTTTGCGACAAGGCATTCGTAGTTCCCTGCTGGATCGCTTTGCTCAATGTGGTCCCTCAGACGTCCCATGCCCGGTGGCTCCAGTATTTCGTTCTCTTCTTCCTTATCCTGGCCGAGGTGGCTAGTGGATGCATCCGGTTCAAGGCATATTTTACATCTGTTGCTGTAGCTTCTCCCAAGGTCGAAGGATTTGATTTCTCAACGTCAGCTGTAAAGGCTGACCACGTTGGCAAGGCCAAACAAACTTTTGAAATGGTTGGGACTGCCCTCTTTATTTTGCCCTGGGTTCGTTACCTGGGTCTTGCATTTTTGTTTCTTGCTGTTCCGTTGGCCTACGAGAGTGTCCGCCGCAAGATCACGAAGAGGGTTCTTTATGTCAACGCCGGTCATAAATTGGAAAAGCTCGACCACTCGACGTTGAAATTCTGGATGCAGGCTAAGGCCATGGGATCAAARTTGGTAGTGGGCTTTCCTATGACCCAAACTGCAAACGACGACAAYAACTACAACAAAAAGGCAGAAATGGGAAAGATTTTTAACGCCCTCGCATGTAGCTGYGTGGATGAAGCCGTAGCCGAGGCTCCCGAAAAACTAGATCTCATGTTCTTGGAAAAACAAAAAATTGATTACGTCATTTCCAAGGTTGCAGAGCCGCAGTTTGTAACTGATGAGGTCGTCAATGCCGGGCGTTGTCTGCAAATCGGGGAAGATGGCATTGTGCGATTGTTCCAATTGAAGAGTGCGAAGAAGGAGTAATCAKTGATTGAACAATTTGTGTCCTTTAATAAATTGAAAGATAATTTTYAATCCGACCGTCATCTCTTCAAACRTTGGAGTTGGGATATCGAAATTGAATCAGAGAAGTCTTTTCTTTCGTGCGAATGCAATTAAATGCACGGGAACGGAGTGCGAAGTTGATTGGCCGCGGAAAAYCATAGTAATCCAATTAAAAACTTTTTGCACTCCAGCATCTTCGTACGGTATGTGTCTGCTCGCAAATCAAAATGAGATCGTAATAATTGAAAAGATTCGTATAATTGCGATTATTAGAAGTACTGTGAATTCTCGATCAAATAACAAAGGATTAACTGYCCTGTCTAAATTGATTGAACAGAATGCTWWTGTTCCAAATRGTGACAAGTGGTACTAAAATTTAGCTCGGYAAATGCAATTGGAAGAAAACTAATTGCACTACTCTTGGTTATCATCAGAGCATGTCATAAAATGCAATMCATTCGCAAATTCAAACATAGGAGACAGCATTATTGCTTCATGGGTTTGGAGGGGGAGACGCCGACGACGGCTGTTGTTTTTCGATCCATTTTTTCCAGGCCGATAGCGGTCTCTGGCATGCAAACTTCTTGTCTAGAAGATCATCGTCATCGCCATTAGATTGCTCCTTTCCGTTACCATTAGAGACGAGCTTGGCGGTTGTGCCGACCACGCCGGCTCCTAGTGCAGCACCAGCAACAGCGCCCGCCAACACTTCGACCGAAGTACCCARGATTGCTATCTCGGTCGCGGCAGCACCAACTGTTTCTATTGCTCCAAGAACTGCAAACGGCATGGCAACAGCCATAGCTAGTCCCATTGCTCCTGCAACAACGAGAGCTAAAAGTATGAGTGTCAAGTTATGCATCCATTCAAAAACAAAAATGACGAAATTTCAACAAGTAGGACAACAAGAAACGATAAACCAACACCGCCAAATACGAAAGAACAGCACAGCAACAGCACAGCAATAATGCAATTAAAGAAGGTAGCGCATGAATAGAATGAATATACATTCAAGAATACGTGTTATGCGTTCCACATGTCTCTGCGCAGAAGTTGCAGTGTTGGTGATGGAATTGAAGACCTACCTGCAATCTTTCCACCACTTATGGAGCGAGGTAGCCGTGGATCCATCCTCCATGAGTGGCAAAGATTCGTTTCTTCGTCTCCCGGGGTGGTGTGGAGCGAGCCATCGACATCGCTGACGGCCAAGAATCGTAGGTGCTCCCTCGAGAGAAACATGACGCCCCCATTTGGTGAAATCTTCTTCTCCCAAAGGGTCCATGCTCCCTTRGAAGTTGTAGTGTGGACGTCGCCCTTCGAATTGCAGCCCAAATACTTTTCATGTGCTATGGAAAAAAAAGTGACGTCGCCCTCTGGAGTCAATTCTATCTGCCACTCTTCCCACTTTTGTTTTTTTTTAGTTAGGAATGGCCCGTTTTTGGAGCTGGAAAYGTGCATGTCAGAAACTCCTCGCTTCGAATAGATTTGATTGTAGTCGGTAGCACCCGAACTTTTTGGGATGTCCTCTTCGACCTCTGGTTTCTCTTCTTCATCCTTCGGGACCTCATCTTCAACCTCCGGGACCTCTTCAGAATCCTTTGAACTTTCGTCTACTCCTTTTTCATTCTTTGTAGAGGCAAATAACGAGGTCAAGTAATAAATGTGCGAATGGGCAGCATTTAGATGCCAAAGGGCGTAGTCGTTAGGTTTGGTGGTCGTCCACAACTGCTCATTCGCCTCACGCCCAACGCTCAGATAGCGACGAGAGGCCACATTTTGAATGTATAGACCTCTACCTCCTTCAGGTACCTCAATTCGCCACCGTTCAGAATAGCTTAGGTCACGAGATGTGGAATCTATCGATGTAACCTTACCATCGGTATCGGAGGTCAAAAATCTCGTGTAATGCGTCCAACTCGAAATGTAGAGTTCGCCATTGCCAACCTCGATGAACCGAAATACCTCCCATCCATGTGAGCCGCTGTTCAATGAAATCGTCCCCCCCGTGTTACATCTCAGTTGGCAATGAACAACGGGATTGGAGATAAAGCAAAGTTCACCCGAAGTGAATTTAATGGTCCAGACAGAGGGTTCTGATTTGTTGCTGGCAATCAATTGAATTCCATCGTCACTTGCTCCGAATTTGTCGGCAGTGTAGGTCAGACGACGAGAGGGATATTTTTTTGACGTTAAGATGTATTGTCCCTCTGTCGATTCGTCAAACGATCCGGACGTTGATGACAATCCTGTTGCGGTTTCAGGCGATTCCATTTCGTGAACGGGCTCCAGCCACCAGTAGGTTGAAGGTGAGGAACTTTCGGCACAATTGACCCGTCCGGTTTCGTCGCAGCTTAAGTACTGGCCACTTTCGCTGTGTCGAAGCTGCAATGAGTGCCGATGTTTCCCGCTGCCTTTTCCATCGCTACCACCTCGACTAGGATCGAGATGGAGGTACCACTCTTGCTTCGGTGACCGTCGCTTACTAAAGGCAACAGTATGGGAGTTCTGGAGATCGTTACTGTAACCCCTTTTTGTGCCGTTCGGCAGGGCATTGACCGTCAGTCGTAACCCCATCTCTACCTCGGTTAGCAAACATCGAGTTGCCTCGACGCAAGGGAATTCCGAGGCATTGTTAGACATCTTGATAAAAGTAGGAAGCAATTTGTGCAAACARATCCTTTATGACTTTTTCATCGATTTCTATGCGAAACCTGAACCACGAGTATCGGGTCCTGTCTCATCCGATCTCCATACTGTACGGTACCCAGGTAGTGGGATAAGATTACTACGCGAAGTGTTCGGTGTTCGATCCAAAGTTGAAACGTGTACTCTGAAGGAAAATATATGACAAATCGCCATAATTGCAATTGTGACTTGTTACTCCGAGGAGGAGCTATATTGAGTTTTTCGCGCCACCATAAAATACACGCAATTGAATCCCGTGAAAGAGGAAGAATTTTTGGAAAGAAACGAAACCCGGAGAGCCCCGATCGCGCGGTTATTCCAGCGCGCGAGTAATTATGACCTTCACTTACGTGACTGACTTGACTCCTCATTCAATTTGCACATCACTCAATCTCCATTCTGATCGAYCTTAGATTTCATAGTTTGTCGATCCTCARTAAGAGCATTGACTMACTTTTCTATTTACATCACTATTAGATAGTCACTCCCACAATAGATCACTCTTAATTAATTATAGATGAATGTTGATAACTCATCAAAGCTGGCAGAAGGATTGATAGTTGTTATTATAACAATAACAAAAGGTACAGGTCTGCTGGTCCAACAAGCCTGCTGCTTTGATCTCTTTTGCCTGCCTTTCTATATGGATCAAGGTATTTGCTCCATCTTGAAACAGATGACTCCCTGYTGRCAATAAAAGGAGGAAGGCCATCCTCCTTCCTTTGCAGTTCCATCTCTCTGATATAGACAGGATACCCTTCGCTCCCTCCCCTAGAAGGATAAGGCTTCTGAGCTCTTCTTTGCTGTGTTAGAAATATCAAGATCAGTACCAGCCGCTATCTTACCAGCTGGATGACTRTTCATACTGATTGTAGCTGCCAACTTTTGAAGAAGGGAGTTGTAGAAAGAAGGAGACACTGAACACACTAAAAAATGGGTTAAACTTGTTGATTGTTTCTTACAGTTCAAGGCACCTTCAATCAAGGATGGAATTGATACCAGTTACAGTAAGAAAGATAGAGTGAAAGTGCYYAGGTAAAATAGAGCAATTCCTAGAGTTGGCTGCTTTGAACTGAKTAGCTTTTYRAAAGAATGAAAGAACAGTTTGCTGAGGATTGTGCTGGATGGAACTTCTAGTYGGACCACTGTAAGAAGTCCCAATATGATTTTGAACACCCAGTCAAAACCAATCAGTTTTGACAAAATCTGCAGTCTACTCCTTTGAYTTGATTGRATCCTACAAGTTCTTTAAGAAATATTTTGTAGTACATACCATCCAAAGAGACCAATCTTGCTTCTTGTTTCACCTGCTGCTGAACAGCTGCTGGGTGTGTCAGCAGTGTGCCCCTACTAGTAGTGAGCTAGTAGTGAACCTAAAGATGTCTACCCAGAATAGTTGAAAACTTTGGCTGCAAGTTGACAACTTGAAATCAAAGTTCTCGACTTTACTTTAATGCTTTGAGTCTTAACCTGAAACTACTTGGGTGCTGGCAAGACTGGTTGCAATTGTTACAAAAGAACATGTAGTACGAGCAGGTTGCATTTACTAATACTAGTAGTAGTTGTTGTTGTAGTAGTTGTAGTAGTAGTGATACTAAATACTGCAGTGATTTTAAAAACTAAATATTATTGTAAAGGCTTGGCTACATATTTCTGGCTGATTTAATTRTACATTTTTGATACTGGATATATGTACAGTAATATAACAAAATATTCAATAGCCCCATAACCCCCCATTTCACTGAATTTGTCTTTTTACTGGGATTCCATTCATGTGCTTATCAATATTCAGSATCTGTTGGGGACCAGCAAGATATAGCTGATCAAGTGAGTTGACTGTCASTTAATGCCCTACATGTTTTTTGTACTGTGCATGGATTTCAGGCCATTTAATTATCATGTAATGACTCATGAGATTAAAAATTTGACTTGTACTAGGGCTACAGCGTGTACGTGCAAGCAAAACAATTTGGTCGCAAGACTGAAACTATTTGGTTGCACRAATGTGGGATTCAAAAATTCAGCATGTGCCGGCTTTAAACTGCAGTACAAGCCAACTTTTTAGTCAAAATAGTCATTACACKGAAAAAGATAGCCCAAGATGTATGATTAAGTCATACATTTGCTGGCAAACTCTATACAATACTTCACCTTGTGAACTAGAAGAGACACTATGTTGGGCAGAACCATAACTTCTAGGGAGAAGAGTGCTCCTAGCTGCTCCAAGGGCCAGCCCCTCCCTCTGAGGAGGTGTTGTGGACTAGCTGCTCCAAGGGACAGCCCCTCCCTCTGAGGAGGTCTTCTTGTGGACTAGCTGCTCCAAGGGACAGCCCCTCCCTCTGAGGAGGGGGTGTTGTGAAGGAGCAGCTAGGAGCATGGGGGTTGGTGGGCTGGTTAGCTGGTTCAGTGAAAAATTGTGTCATAGTGATTCTTTGGAGSGTTTGATTTGTTGYAACAACAGAGGCCAGGGGAGTATTAAAGTAGGCAGCTTGTGCCATGTGTCATCTCTCCTTAAAGTAGGCGTCAAAGACTAGCCCATCATGTGTGGCACTTTCCAGTGCTTATTTACTATGAGGTAAGATTGAAAAATATTGGGTGGTAGTAGGGCACTTATTGGAGACAGATGTTAGATATTCTTGCATAAATAGTTTTCTCATAGACTTGGAGGTAATGCAAGAGCAAGGAGGTAGGTGCCTCAGATATGAATGTTTCAAGATCATCCTTTGGGAATAAGTGAGCATGAGATGAACACATCTGCAATTTCAAGGCAACTAGATTGCAGACAAACCAAWGTTGTTGCAGTGCTTGTTTCTGAGAGAGTGTGTGACCGTGAATATCTTGATTTTGCTGTTCCCACRATTAGATATCAGAGGTAAAAAGAATTTCACCAGATGGCTCCCCAGAAGAATACTGCATTAATTTTTTATTGTGCATCAATCATCACCTGTTATTACCCTGAAGGCATGAATAGCACCATTGACTACACCGCTACATATTACATCATATGGTTGGTGGGAGAAGGAATGACAAGCTATTCTTCTTTCACAGCATTATTATTACTACTAACTACTACTAGTACTAGCTAGTACTAGTAGTAGTGCTAGTACTATTATAGTATTAGTACTACTAGTAGTAGCCCATATCACGACAGAAAGTAAAGAATGCAACAACCTGGTGAAAAACTTCTCCTAGTAGTTCTTGTTGTTCAGCAGATTCCTTCAGTGGATCCAAACTGCACTTCCATTCCTGTTATTATGATAACATACCTCATTTTTCTGAAAAAGATGCTTGCCATCTCTTGCTATGGTGGTGGCTGACCAGTTGCCAATAGTTACCCTTTTTCTAGTAGTAGTAGTACACTTTTGCTTCTAGCACCCTTGGTGAAACCCTTGGTGTGTGCTTCAAATGCAGTAGTACAAATAAAGATAGTTAAAAAAGTGCTAGTGCTAGTGGTACTAGTGGTACTAGTAGTAGTACTAGTAGTACTAGTAGTAGTAGTAGTAGTAGTAGTAGTAGTAGTAGTAGTAGTAGTAGTAGTAGTAGTAGTAGTAGTAGTAGTAGTAGTAGTAGTAGTTACAGCTAGTACTAGTAGTACAGCAGTACTACTAGTACTACATGACAAGTTGGCCTTCTGTATGGTCATCTGAACTGACTTGGTGTTGATGTTTAGACCTCGTAGAAAAAGGATTTATTTTTCTACAAATGGTGGCACATCCACACCCACTTCTCAGTTACTGCCAGTAGCACCACAGTACTACTAGTACACTACAAAGTTGATATCAAAAACAGAAGTGCATGCTAGTAAGTTGCCTGTTGCTACTATAGAGTTCAGTGTTTGATTGGCCATATTCAATTCATCTCAATTCTTTGACTATTTTCTTGTACTATACGGTATGTTGCCTTGTTGGGAAATTACAACGGAAGAAATAAAAAATGAGCAGAGAAGTGTTTTTTTCTAGGTTTCTGTGCTTGCATCATATTTTTGTAGGATTTGTACAGCAGACCCCAGACGTTAAGAGGGTCGACTCTTGCAAAGAGTTGCGATTGAAGTAGAGGCGGGAAAAAGTTTAGTCGTGCCCWGTAAGCCCTTCATGCATCCTGTCCTGCTTTGCYGGTGTCAGCCTTATATCGTGAGCTTCATACTTCATAGAATATGCAGGTTTTGTAAAAATTCCATAGGTTAAATTCGTACCATCAATAATGTCTATGACGAARATTTCATCGAGTCTCTTGAGCTCGATTGGCATCTTTTGAAAGTTCCTCCACGAGCCATCAAAAATGGTAAAAAAATAGTGCACGTTCTTTCGGTGGATTTAAGTCGTATCAAGGGACCCTCTGTTCCCAACATCTTTTTTCTTCCGTGTCTTTTTCACGAAACAAGGAGTCGTCACGTTGGACTCAAGTAARTTRGTCGTGAGTACAGTGTTGTTTGTGGTAGCTTTAGTATCATGGACTCATTGGCAACCATGATTWACTTTCAGAACAACGATCGAAGTTGAAAGTTGAAGTGTTTCATCTTCGAAGAAAGACTCTGAGATAAAGGTTTCGTAATATTTCGACTTCCTGTAAATTCGTTTCTTCCTGATGAGTTGGAATATTCGATTGCCCCTCAAACTTMAATTGGTTCATCRATCCAGCCAGAGCARGAAATGATATTTTCCAACTAGATCAAAGTACCATAGAGCTGAGACGGCGATTAACTCTACTTGAATTAATCTTCTCACTCTTTAGCCAGGAAGTACACCAAAACGGAGAGCAAACCCAGAATCGTAAAACCAAACGACACAGCAACGCCAACCTGGTAAAAAGGCATAGT